GCAGCACAGCTATTTTAGCACTGAGCCGAGAACATAGCCCTTCGCCAGGAAAATGGAGTGGGAAAGCAAAGGGGCGCTCAGCACCGGGAGGAAGGGGTGCCCCTCTGCGTGGCGTCGGGCTGTGCTGTGCTGTGAGCCATCATCAGGCAGCTCCTGACATGGCGCTTAGCCGGATGCTAAACAAACAGCCCAATATTTCATGGCGTGGAGACAGCAGGTACCATGCTAAATGGGACGTGCTGATCTCCCAGCTGCTGCCTTAGTGCATTTACACACTGTTTTCTTTTTTCTTTTTTTTTGGTAATGACTAATGAGGACTGCCTGGGGGTCTTACCCCCTTCGCCAACTGATGTCAGCCAGTCAGGTCCCTCTGAGAAGCACACGCCAGCTGTCAGCTCATTTAGAAGGGGAGGAGAGCAAACATTGGACACGTTTCCCCCACCCTGCCCCTTGGGTTTTCAGTTGGGACTGGCAGATGTAAGGCAGGGGAGCAGGCTGGTGGGGAGAGCTGCTGCAGGTTATTTGCACATCAAAAGCAGCTTTGCCTCCGACCCTCTATCACCCTGTGAGCAAGAGGTGGCTCGATTTAATTGCTCTTTCAAAGGCAGCCCTGGTCTTGTCTCTGCTGAGATTTTCGGTCTGACTCTGCCCCCCCCCAGCCAGAAACTGGTGCACTGGCACCGGGTGTTAAAAGAAGATGCAAATTAGCTTTTCTCCATCTTGAAGCTTATTTGCATCCGCTGATTAGTTCAACAACTAATTCAAACTCCTTCTGTTTGAGGACGGTTGGTGCTCGGGCAGCTGGAGCAGAGCTAACCCAAAGCACAAACGAAGCAGGGAACCCCAGTGACTGTGCAGGAGATGCACGAGCTGGTGCTGCTTCTCCTGTTTTGCCCCCCAACACCTGAGCCAACCGTGCCCCTCGTTCGGACGCTTCCTCAGCCCAGGAGCCATGACACACACTGATACCATCCCATTCACGTTCAACCTGCCACAGAGGAAGCACTGGGTATCATGAGGGAATGGCTTTACCCCGGCTTTATCGGGGCTTTCTGCTCCTTCCTGAACGTGCCTCCTCTTGGGCATGAAGCAGCGGGGTTGCAGCAGGGACCGGGCTGCCCTGGCCATGGCTGTCCTCCACTGCTCAGCTTTCCTTGTGATCTCACAGCATCCTAACGCTGGAGCTGTGCTCCTGTTTGTGCAACAGCCCTACAAGGGCCAGGCGGTGCCCGCTACCTGATTTCTGCCGCCTGAAGCAGAGGAAGCTCTGAGCCCTACCTGCGGGGAGGACACAGCTTTTTCTCATCAGTAGCTTCATTAGGGTTTTGGTGGAAAAGGGGTGGGACCCTCACCTTTTTTAATGGAAGAAGCAGCCCAGGGTCCCCAGGGCTGGCGTTTTGGCTTCCCGGTGTCCTGGGCATTGCCAAGAAGCTCTCCTTACAGTGTATATGCCCTCAGGGATGCTGCGCTTGCTCCTGGACCTGTCCTGACCCTACTGCTGCTCAGCCCCAGTAAGTCTCTGCTTTGCTGTGCTGCAGCATCTGCAATTTGGTTGCGACCTCTGCGGGACAGGGATGTCCCCTGGGATAACCTGGGATAACAGCTGGCTTGGGGGTCTCCTCCTCGCAGCTCCCCTGACCCAGGTACATGGACAAGCATGGGAAGGACTCAGCTGAGCCGGCAGCACCCTGCAGCCGGGGCAGGCGATGGTCAGAGGTGATTTGTAACAGAAGGTGCCGCTTAGGAGAAAGAGAGCCCTCACATGTGGTTTTCTATCTCCTTCCTGCTCAGCAGTTTTCAAAGGCTCTAAAAATAAACTCCCCTCATGCCTCGGGCAGCGTGAGCAAAGCCAAGCTTTCCCTGGAAAGCATTGGCGGGAGCTGGGTGCCGCTGCCGGGTGCCCTTTCGGGGGGCACAGAGCAGCTTTTGTGTGGCTTGGGCCCCCCGCCCTGCACTGTGGTGGGGCGAGTACCCCATGGAAACAGCCAGATGAGTCAGGATGAATAATGTTTTCTGCAATGAGTGTTTCCCCCTATTTTCTGCCCCCCCAACCTCCCCCTTTGCCTCCCCCTGTGCTGTTTAGACCTGTGAAACTGCCAGATCCGTGCAGTGCAAACAGGCTCCGAGTTGATTGGTTTGGGAGGAAAACAGCTTAGTCAAAACATCCTCAGTTTCATTAAGATGTTTCCACTGTATCTCTACCTCTGTAATTGTCTTCTCCGGCTCTGCCGGCCAGGGGGTTGGACCTGCTCACACCGGGGACGGTGGGTCGGGGACCGCCGGGGCTGGGGGCTTTTGGGCTGTGTGAGGTCGGGATGAAAATCGGTCTCACCTGCAGAGCAGGAGGGCAAAGCCTGTGGGGTGCAGGCTGGGAGCGGGGCCAGGCAGATTATCTCCTCCTCTCCAATACCCCCGTGTTCGCCGGAGGCAAGTTGCTGCTTTTCCATGCATGGGTTATCCCAGCTGCACAGCGGAGATAATGCCGCTCGCCCACGCGGCAAAGCGCTTGCAGGGCTGGAAACAAACAGGACCAGGTGGAAGGATGTCCCCAAAGGGGACCTTGGTGTGTCACAATAAATGGTTGGTGGCTTGTGGGGGTGATGTGAGAGGGGCACGGTGAAGCACTGTCCTGCATTGCCGCTCACCGGTGATGAAAACCCTCCAAATGCTGCTAAGCCTGACACTCAAAGAAGCTAAATAAGTTTTTAAAAATTTATTTATAAATAAAAACATAAAATTACCAGTAGTTTACATCAGTCACCAGAAATAACATCCAAAAAACCTGCAGAAAAATAATTATATGTACAGGCTGAACCTGGCCAGCCGCAGAGCGGGCAGCGTGGCCGCGGCTCACACCGGGAGCGACACACCTGCGATACGGACAGTCACACACAGCGTTGTGCAAAGGCAGCACGTCGACGCCTCCGGGCGATCACATCATACAGCGCTGGCTGGGGAGGACACGGGGCTGGGGCGATGGTGCCCCAGCCAGGGGGGACAGGTGCCACCGAGGCCAGCGGGAGCAGGAACAGGGCTGGGCAGGCAGGCGTGGGCATTGCTGGGATGGGGGCTGCGGGACGGGGGCAGCTGGGGAAGGCTCTGCTCCCCTCGGCGCCCCGCGAGCGTTTGGTGCTGGAAAGCTCCTGGTTGCCGTGCTCTGGCTCCGACGTGGGGTGCAGAGGGTGTGCAGAGCCCTTGGTGCAGGGCTATGGCTTGGATGATGCAGAAAATCCCTTCTGGCCTCATGAGCCAGAGCGGAGCCGGGTGCCATCCTTCATCTCCTGGTCTTCTCTCCAAAACACCCCTCAGCAGGTCTGGGCAGAGGCTGGCTGACCTGACGTGGCCCTGGCCTACAGCCGCAGGGCTGGAACTGGGATTTGAAGTTGGCTTTTCTCCAGCGGACCATGGCTAAGGATTGGCTTGTGCTGTGTGCCAGCACCGGGACTGGCCGGGACGCTCCGGGGCGGCACGTGGTGGGGGTGCTCGGGGGCAGGTGCAGAAGGCACAGACTGGTTTCCGTGTGTCGCCTTTGTAGGCTGGCTGGAGCGGGGTAAGGGATGCTGAATTTTGCTGCTTGTGCACAGCTTTGAGCCCTTGGCCAAATTTGCGGCATGGGATTGTGCAAGACACCCCCGCCCCCGCAACCCTGGGACGGGGCTTCCCAGGCTGGTGCCCAGCTCACTAGTGGGTAAACAAACATATTGCGGTAAAAATACCATTGCACTACCACAAAGTGGTCCCGGCTGGAGACCTCCACCCCGGCAAGCTGGGGTGGGGCCGAGCTGCGTGGGGACAGGAGAGTCATCGCTGGTGACGTGCAGTGGAGCCTTGTTATCTGCTTGCTGGCCGCAGGAGGAAATGTTAAGAGCTGTGGTAGAAAACAAAATGAAAAGTGGTTGATTTGGGTTTTTTTAACCAGCTCCTGTTGACAGGAGCCCGTGGACGTAAGGGCACAGGAAGAGATAAGGCAGCCGGGGTTCCCGGGAGGCACGGTCACAGCGAGCAAGTGAGAGCGCGCGGGGTCGTGGGGCAAACACAACCGATTTCCCCCTCGATTCCTCGGGTCAGAGGAAATTTCTGTTAATATGTAAATCCAGTTGCCCGTCTGGCAGCTGGAGAAAAGGGACACTGAGTCCTTGTCTGTCAGGGCGGGGAATGCTGGGCTTGCCATGGCTGTGCAGGTCCAGGGAGGAGGGTTGTGCCGGTGCGGCTGTGGCCAAGGGACAGGATGGGTGCAGGGTGGGCTGTGCTTGCTAGTGAAAGGTGATTTCGGTGGGGGCGTTGGCTGTAATGGGGTGGGGTGTGCGTGTGTGTGTGGGTAGGGTCCTTCCTGAGGCACTACAGCAGTCGAAGGATGGGAGAAGGGGATGTGCAGCCTGCGCCGGCAGCAGGAGGCGGCTCCTCCTGCCCACGGCACCCTGGAGATCGGCACCGACCAGAGGAAGGTTAAGGAGGTGCGAGAGCAGCGTGGCGCTTCCTCCAGGCTGCGAGCAGGGAGCGGCTGGAAACGTGCTGTGGCCGATTTCTCTTGAAGACGGTGGGAAGGGCAGTGGTGTCCCCGTCCTCAGCGCTGTGCCATCACGGGATCCCTCCGAGCCCAGAGCAGAGCATCCCCTGGGAGTTTTGCATCATCTCGTTACCTGACGGGAGGTTATTTGCTGAAGTCCTGTTCCCTGACTGCCCCCACCGCTGGCTTCTCAGTCCTATGAGGGGGCAGAAGGGATGCTGCCGAGGCGGCAGCGGGTCGAGGGGGAGCTGCTGGCACATCACCATTGGCACAAGTTGCTTGTTCACCTCTGTAACACGACAGGCAGCGGGCATCGCCGCAGTGCGACGCAGGGAGGGGAGAAGGGCTGGTGAGCTGGCCAGGCCACCAGCTCCGCTAATAAATACATGGCTCATCTGAACTGTACAAGGCGTAGGCCGAGCTGCGGGGCAGCGCTTCTCGCCTGGAAGAGACGCCCGTCCCCAAGCTGCAAGGAGGAGAAGGCAGACCTGGCTCAGATCTCAGTGGCGATGATGTCCTCGTAGGGGACGTCAGCGCCAGGTATGTCCAGCTCGATGGGCTCCTTGCCATCTTCCCCTGCGGCGAGCTGCTGGAGCATCTTCTCCAGGTTCTGGTTCCTCTTGTACATGTGCAGGTAGCTCTGCTGCAGCTGCTTCTGGTAGTGAATCACCTTCTCCTTCTCCTCCTTCCATGTCTGCCGCTCGTGCTGGAAGCCGGAGGTCATCTGCTCATTGTTGTCCCGTTCAGCCTTCAGCTCTGCCCTCAGCCTCTCCACCTCTCCCTGCAGGGCTTGAGCATCGTCCACCATGGCGCAGGGCCTGGCCAACTCATGGGCTTCGCTCAGCTGCTCTTTGAGGACAGCAAGCTCCGTCCGCAGGTCCACGATCTCCTGCTCCAGCAGGTTCACCTTCTCTCTCAGCAGCTCGGACTCATTCTTCTTGCGCTGGAGCTCATTCTCGCATACCTCCAGTTCCATGGCTTTGGTGCGCAGGGAGCCCTCCAGGTCCTGGGTCTTCATCTCCAGCCCTTCCATCTTCACCCTCACCTCCTTCAGCTGAGCCTTCAGGCTGAGGATCTCGGTGGTCTTGGTGTTGAGCTCCGTCTGGGACTCCTTCAGCTGCTGCTTCAGGAGGGAGATCTCCCCCGACTTCTGGCACACCTGTGGGGAGGGATGCAGCACCCGAGTTAGGGCTGCGCCTTGGAGAAAGCCCGCAGTACCCCGTGCAAGCCATGCTGGGCACAGCTGGCGTTCGGCATACAGAGACCCTGACTGTGAAATCCCATCCAGGGAGATGCCCCAGCGCAGAGGGCGATGCCCCAGCTCTCGGGGGGGCTGGAGGCGACCCCACGCTCTCCATGCATCAACACCCCAGCTGACACGGAGGGCTGCTCATGAACATCCATGAGGTTTTAAGGAGCTGACACACCTCAGCTGAGGTGCGGGAATGGATGGTGTCGAGAAGTGCTCAAGTCTCCACACCCCGTCCAACATGTTTGCCGAAACCACCGCTGATGGCTCACGCGGTCAGTTAAACTCGCTGAGCTTGTTTCACAAGCAGACATCCAACTGCACCCTACACCCCGCAAAATCATAGCTGGGAGCAAAGCATGTAAATCCCTCTGGAGCATCCTGCTGGAGCCTAAAGCATGGCTGGTACAGCTGCTCCCGGAGACAGCTTTTGGGGGTTCAGCATCCAGCTCCTCTTGGTGGGACCCTGCAGCTGGAATTTCAGTACGGCTTGCGAGCAGCCTGGAAAGGCGGCTCAAAAATGCAAATAAACCAGAGATACTGAAAGTGATATGAGAAATCCTTGCATGCGAGGGAGCAAAGGTGAGCACCATGCTCCTTGAAGCACGTCTGGCAACAGCTATGCTTCTCCCTGTACAGCCGCAGTGAAATGATAATTGTGTGCTATTCAGGTGGTTGAACAGGCTCACTTGTGAATTTTCAGCAGTTTAACGGTCTTTGTTCAGTGATACCCAATCAGTGAGAAAATTAAGCTTAAGCAGAGAGTGGAAGGTTTTACTGCTCTCTAATAAATGACCATGGCAAGTCCAGTAGTTCCTATTTACACGTGGGAAGGCAGCTTTACTGCTCCTTTGGGGCAGGCAGCCTGAAAAACCCTGCACTGGAGGTCGGCAACGCAAAGTTATTTTAATGAGTGAGGTTTTTATGCAGTGGTTGTTTCCTTATATGATGTGAAGTGCTGAGGGGTTAAGAGGGGCAGTGAGTCACTCAGTTATAACTTGCAGAGCCTCCACGTGACAGACTAGGGCTCTCCTTGGCTTTAATATCTATCTCCTACAGCCTGGGCTTAGTGTGTGCACCATCTGCTCTGCTCAAACCCCCTGTGGTGCTGCTGGATGCAGGTATAGAAATGGAGAAGAGCTGCGTGGTTTATTGCTGGTGCCGGAGCTATCGCCTTCCACGCACACGCTTTGCTTTCGGCATTGGCAGCCCGAGATACCGTTTGGTGCTCCAGTGCCACTTACCTCCCACTGGGTCTCCTCCAGCGCCGGGGCGAAGCTGGTCTTCTCCTTCTCGTAGGACCTCAGCTTGGTCTCCAGCAGGTTTTGCTCTTTCATGAGGTTCTCCAGCTCCTCCCGGAGCTGCTTCTTCTCCTGCTGCAGCTGGAACACCTGGAGGTGAAGGACCTGCTGCGTCCGCTGGGTTTTCTGTGAGGTTTGCTTGAGCTTGCTGTTGCATTTCTGCTTGAGGCCCTCCAGCTCTTCCTTGCAGCGCCGCTGCTTCTCTTCATAAGCCTGGCAGGAGCTGACTTCTTTCTCCTCAAAGCTTGACTGAAGCTCCTGCAGCTCCCCCTCCCTCTCCAGCAGCTTCTGCTCCAGCTCCTGGATGGTGGACTCATCTGTGGAGATGGGTGAACGGATGCAAGTGGTCTTCTCGGCGGCGTGGTGGTGGGGGGCTTTGCCGGGGTTGAGGATCTTGTTGCCCCCGTCAGAGAAGGACATGGCCTTGAGGCTCATCATGTTGCTGTCCTGGATGATGGCACACTGCAAGATGTTGTGGGCTGAGCCCCCGAAGCGGCTGATGGGTCCCATGGGCGTGACGAGGGGGTCGAGCTGGTAGCTGCTGCTGGTGCTGTGGGTGGGGAGGCTGGACATGGAGTTCCTGCCGGAGTCAGACAGACCCCCCGAGCACAGCACCGGCTTCAGCTCCTGCTCCTTGGCTTTCTCCGGGGGGTGCAGCTGCTGGGAGAGGTGACCCCCATTCTCGGGGGAGGAGTGGAGGATGGTGCTGGACCGGGGCAGCACCGGTTTGAAGGCGGTCGGTCGCACAGCTGGCTTCTCCGTGCCCTGGGGAGAAGAGCAGAGCCTGTCAGCACAGACCGACACCACGTCATCTCTTTTCCCCCAGCCTTTCTGCCCCCAAGGATGAGAACCCCACGGCAAGGATGGCTGGGGTCTCCATCAAGGGCTGAAACCTCAGGAGGATGCTGATGGCTAAAACTGCCTCTGTTGGGAGGCAAATGGCATGTTTGGAAATGAAAGGATACAGATCATATTGCTGATCCAAATTCCCGAAAGCAGAGGGTGGCAGGGTGCCCTCAGCACCTCCCCGCTGCCCCTCTCCTCCCGCTTCCTCGGCACAAACTATTTTCTCTGAGCCTTCTCCTGGACCAGGACCAGGAAAACCCTGTGGTGGGACCTGCACCCACTTCAGGGGCAGATGCAGTCCAGTGGGACACCCCCTACTTCTGGGGCCACCGCGTCCCCTACTAACCACTTCCAGCTGACTGGGAAAGGGCATCAGCTTCTGCGGCGTGGGCGTCCCGAAGTCCATGCTGCTTGTCCCGGCTTGGCTGCCCAGCTCCCCACCGGCAAGCGAGGTATAGTCCGCTCGGTGGGAGCCGTGCGATTTCTGGCTGACCTTGATGTAAAAGAAGTCCTCATTCTTGCTGCTTTTGGAGCTGGACTTGTGGCTGGAGTCCTGGGAGAAGCCGAAGCGGAGCAGCCCGTCCGAGTACCTGTTGAGCTTTTTCAGCTGGGACGACTTGCGGAGCTTGTACTGGGAGGCTCGGCAGTGCTTGCTGTGGAAGCTGTGGCCGGAGATGAGGCTACTGACGCTGCCCATGCTGCTCCCGGGCGGGGGGCATGCAGCGGGGGGAGCAGAGCCCGGCTGAACCGTGCAGCGAGGGGTCTGGGCAGCAAGTAGAGATGGCCGCTGCTGCAATCATAGCAAAGACCTCGCTGCGCCCGGGAGCTGCGAGCCTGGGGGAGGCAAAGAGAGCAGGGTGAGGAAAAGCGGTTTGGGAGGCAGGTGCAATGCTGCGCCCACGGTCTGGGCATCGGCAGGAGCGGGGCGGTTTCTGACGATATCAGTGCGTAAACACACGCCTTGCATGCACGTTCGGGTACAAGCTGGCATCAGCATGTGAAAAGGCTTGTGCAAAGGGGGTGTGTGCACCTCAGTGTGCACATTTCCCCATGTGTGTGTCCAGGGATGGGTCAGTGTGTGTTGGGCTGGGGGTGCGTGTGCAGATGAGCTGGTCGGTCCTCGGGTGCGTGCAAAGGGAGAGGGATGCTTGCTGAGGCTGGTACCCTGCTGCCAGCCCAGGGCTGCTCTTCCCCGTCCCTCTGCAGAAGCCCCATGTGAAGGAGGGTGGCAGACGAGGAAGGCAGGGGAGTGCAGGGCTTTCCCCTGCGCCTGGGGACGGCTCCAGGAGCCTCCCGTGACCTGCCTGCATCCCCCAGGCTGGCTGGCACCCGCCGTGGCATGGCTCCTGGCTGGCTGACCCACGCCTGGGGGCTCATGGGAAGCTGCTGGGTATGGTGCACCTGGATGAGGCCAGGAGGGTTATGAGACACAGGAGACTAAAAATAGGGAGATGAGGAAAAGGGATTTGTAGTGATTTTTAGATGCCTAATAGGCATGAATTTCAACCGGCACCCGTGCCTCCTGCTTGTGCCATGCAGGATGGATCCCATCTCCTGACAGCCGCACTCGGCACTGCGAGATGCAGTCACAACCTCTCCTGCATCAGCCTGTCGCGCCCTGATTTCTCTCCAATTTTCAGTGCTCCTCTTAACCTACCTGAAAAGGGATGCTGTGAGGCTTAATTACGCTTAATATCTGTGCAGCACTTAAGAAGACAAGAGGTGTTATGTGTGTGCTAAGTATTGTGATTACGCAGAGGTATCTTTGCTATGGGGGAAAAAGAAAAAATAAAAAATCCCGGCTCCTGGTGGCTTCTGTGACACTTGGCTCCCAGTGTCAGGGCTATAATGGAGATGCACCCTCCATCTAGATGATTAAAGGGTGAGGTGGGGAGAAGGGGGAAGAGCTGCTCGTAGGCAGAAGTTAATGCATAATCAACATGAGCTAAATCCCGGTTGCACAGGATGATGAGATCGGAAACGCTTCTGCTCTCTGCTGTGCGCGGAACAGCTCAAAGCTTCCACCAGTGCTGCGTGGTCCAGCTCTCCTCCGGAGCTGCCCCGCACTGGGCTTCCATTGCCCGAGCAGGCATCCCGGGGGTAAAATATCATCTGGCAGTGGGAGAGCGCTCGGAGACTGCTGGGAGAGGGTCGGGTGATGGGAGGGTGCAGGCACGGTGTGCCAGGGCATCCTCGCTGCCTCATCCTCAAGGCCTAGAGAGCTGCTCCCATGTTTTCCCATTCTTTGTTATGTCCTGCCTTACGCCTGCTCTGGTGCAGGCTCCTCTGCATTCTCAACAGGGTGACACGAACCTGCGTTCATCCCTCAGCTTTATTTGTTTTCTTTTTCTGTGTCCTGAGGACCCAGATTGATTAAGTGTCAAAGAAAAGTCCCAGAAAGACAGAATATCCTCTTTAATCCCTAAATCCATTTTTGGGAGATTAAGAGAAGTAAGTAAGAACCAAGGTCTGAACTGCTGCCTGGATGCTGATATGCTAAAAGTGATCGATGACTTCGGCTTCATTCATTTTTACAGGGTAAGAGGCATAATGTGCGTGGAGGGGGAGGAATCGCTGCAGGGAACAGGATAATTGGCACAGGAGGCTGCTCCGCCAGCGTGTGTTCCCGACACCACGCTTGTGTGTATGTGCCTGCGGAAAAGAAAAGGCAGTGTCACAGCAGCAAAGATGCCAACTATAGCGACAGCATCCCAGAGACGGCGTTCAACATGTGCGAGCGAGCCGGGGCAGGGGGGGAAGCAGCCGGTGTATTTACACACAGCTATGGCAGAGGTGTCAGGGAGGTTTGATACCTTAAAACACGGAGCAGTGCAGGGTGCATGGACCTGGTGCTCCGGGGACGCCAGGTTTGCTGTCCCAATGGCTGGAGCACCTCGCTGGGGAGCAACGAGGCCCCTTGGTAGATGCACCCTTGGGTTTTTTGGGTGCCCGCAGAAGACAGAAGTGTGGGGAGGAAGAGCTGGGACTTTCCAGCCTCTTGGCAGGAGGCGTTTCCATCAATCCCAGCCCTCCTACACATGCCTGAGAGGGTTGGGCACGTCTTTTTCTTTTTCTTCCCTCTTTCGATTTAAAAATGAACACTCTGAAAGCCGTGGAGGAGTTGGCATTCATGCACAGCGTTAGCAGAAAGAAAGGCTCTGGAGACAGCACAGCTGGGAGCACACCAAGCGAGCAGAGGGCACAGGCTTCTGCTCCAGCTTTGGGGCACCTCCAAAAAGGGGGCACCAGACTTGTCCCCCTTCCTTGTTCAGCCTCTGTGGTACATGCTTGCATCTTCCCCTGCATCAAATCTAGTGACTGTGGGACTCTACAGGGAGCCAGATTGGTTTGCCGAGCCAAACAAAAACGAGTCATTATGTACATACATATATATTTAGATGCATGTGTATATATGTATATTTTAAGGGCTTTTGCATGCTTGGCAACAGCCACAGTTCAGTTAGGTTAGGCATATTGCAAAGTGTAAAAAGGGGTTGGGGGAAAAAAAAAAGTGATACTGAGAGTGCAGGGTCTGAAAATGCCTCGGTAATGGTGGGTGCCCGGTCCGTGCAGCCGTGGGAGGGGTGCTGGAGACGGGGTGCGTGCCTGGGTCAGCGGGGGTGTGTGGCACCATGGCTGTAGGCACAAGCGGGGAGCTCACACCACGGCGGGTGGTGCAGGCAGCCTGGCTAAGCATGTAGGTGTATCAGGGCTGGATGTTTGTGGGGGGCAGG